CCACCACAATTCTCCTGCCTCAGCCTCCTGAGTAGCTGGGATTACAGGCACGCACCACCATGCCCAGCTAATTTTTTGTATTTTTAGTAGAGATGGGGTTTCACCATGTTGACCAGGATGGTCTCGATCTCTTGACCTCGTGATCCACCCGCCTCGGCCTCCCAAAGTGCTGGGATTACAGGCTTGAGCCACCACGCCCGGCTTTTTGTATTTTCTGTAGAGATAGGGTTGCACCATTTTGCCTAGGCTTGTCTAGAACTCCTGAGCTCAAGTGATCCACCTGTCTTGGCCTCCCAAAATGTTGGGATTATAGGGGTAAGCCACGGCACTCAGCTTTGTTCCCTTTTTCATTCGTCTCAAGCTATTTTCCAATTTCCCTCGTGATTTCTTCTAAAGAAGAAATTAAAATCCAGTAGTTGTTTTAAGAGTGTACTGTTTAGTTTGTGAATTTTCCATTTTTCCTTCTGTTATTGATTTCTAATTTTATTTCATTGTGATCAGAAAAGATACTTTGTACGATTTCAGTCCTTTAAAATGTGTTAAAACTTGTTTTGTGGCCTAACTCGTGCTCTGTCCTGTAGAAGGTTTCATGTGCACTGAGAAAAATATGTCTGCTATTATTGGACAGGATATTCTGCTACCACATTTTAATTTGCCTCTAACTCCCCATTATCAGACAAAGCTGCAGAGAACATCCTCATATATGTTCCTTTGTGGACCTGTGTAAATTATCCACATGCTGAATTGGTGAGTCCTGAGGTATGTCTACATTTAATTTGACGATTGCTCTCAAGAATGGCTGTGCCACTCACACATCCACCAACAAGGTCTGAGGCTTCCTATGTTGCCATATCCCTGCTAACACTTAACGTGGTGGCTCATACCTGTAATCCCAACACTTTGGGAGGCTGAGGCAGGTGGATCACCTTAGGTCAGGAGTTTGAGACCAGCCTGGCCAACATGGTGAAACCCTGTCTGTACTAAAAATAGAAAAATTAGCCAGGCATGGTGGCACGTGCCTGTAGTCCAGCTACTTGGAAAGCTGGGGCAGAAGAATCACTTGAACCTGGGAAGCCACGGTTGCAGTGAGCCAAGATCTCACCATTGCACTTAAGTCTTGGTAACAGAGTGAGACTCTGTCTCAAGAAAAAAAACACAACAACATTAACCAGCTTTCTATTTTTTGCCAGGCTGATAGGTATAAAGCAATGGTTCTCAACCTGGGATGATTTTAATCCCACAGGAGATAACTGGCAATTTCTAGAGATATTTTTTATTTTCCAAAGGGTATTGTCTATTGGCAGCTAGTGGGTATAGGCCAGGGATGCTGCTAAATATCCTACTAGGTACAGACAAGCCCCCGCAA